GAGAGAGAGAGAGAGAGAGATATATATATATATATATATATATATATATATATATATATATATGGCACCACACTGAAGCTGGACTCCACCTGTCCTTGCATGTGCACATGTCACTAATCCCGGATCCATCTCTTTTCCGGCCGCAACCAACACGGGCAGAATGTTAATCGTCGCTTCAGATTACACCATGCAACAAAATGTTGTCTGCTAGAATCCTGGCTCTCCACCTCACATCTTCAATGCTCTCTATGATCCGACCCTGCTCACTAATACATAATCCACCTACCAACAACCTTGCAAACGGCACTAAACCAGCAAAACACATACCAACAATCCTCAGACTAAGCACTTGGTGGACCTGACACCAACACCTCTTCAAACAAGACCCCCTTCTGACAGCACATTCACAGCACAGAGCACATGGAGAACAGAGAGCAAAGTGCAAGGAAAAACAAATATCTTGTCTTTGCAGTCACTGGTGCTCCATGATGGCATCCCTTTGTTGGCAAACAAATATGCAACAGACTTCTTAAAAACATGCATGCAAAAAATGATATGCTATGTATATGTCTCATCACTGCTTCACCAAATAATAGCATATAACATATGTCAAATACTATCCATGACAACTGCTTGGGTGTGCCAAGTCAATCTGGCAAACATCTCCAGCTCTTGAGGCGGATTCAGCATTGGAGAGAATAAATATAATCTACTAAGAAATACAACAGCTTCTCTAGCTTCTATCTATACAGCTTCCCTCCAAATGTTTACAGATCTGTTCAAGGCATGAGTGGGCGAGATTCTCATATTTGCATTGCCATGGCCCAGTGGTGGCGCATGAGTAGGCAGCTGCCTGCCGTAAGGTGATTAGGCCACATGGTTTTCTATGTTTGTTGCATCCTTGGCAATTAATGTGGTTTGTTGCCAATGATAGGTTAAGTCATGTTCCAGTTTGAGTTGGTATGCATAGGACATTCAGAGCAGGAACTTTACTAACCTATAAACAGATGTGATTCTAGTACTCATTTCTCATTTCCTAGTATTGTTCAATGGTGATTCCATTTAACATTCACATGCTTTCTTTTCTACATTTCCATATATGGTTTATCATATACCAAGGTAGCAACACCAGCTGCTTGCCATTGGGCATCTTTGGTGGGTGCAAGATCTGTGCTTTTGCAGATATCAATACATGGCTCATGATGGAAGCAGCAAGTCTCAAGCTGTTGCACACTCTGGTTTTATTTTGACCTGACACAAAGAAGTAAAATACATCTTTCTAAAAGCTGTTCTTGTTGCCTCATGATGGAGTACATATATTTCATTTTACCTAGTCACAATCCTGGAGTACAACATCTCCACCTCCAATATCAATGTCAAGTTTTCCAACAGTGCATTCCACAATGTACAATGGCATATTACTGAAACTGGTGCATCAAGGAGCCTATAAACTGCAGAGCAATTGTATTACACTGCTTGTTTTGTTTATTGGTGTTTTTGGGCCATCAACTGCACTGGTCACTTTGCACCCATTGTATTACACATTTTCATACCTGATGCTGGCTTCAATATCTTTAAGCATGAACATCTCCTTTACGTGAGAAACCTACCTTGGCTGGTAAGTAGCTGCACTAACCCCTAAGTGCCAAATGCTTTTAATTATATTTCAGTGCAATGCATGACATGTAAATCATTAAGTTGGCCTCCCATGAATCATGGAATTACAAAACAGGTCCACAACACTTCAAGTATCAGTTCTATCATCCTTATTTGAGACCCAACCCTCCTTTCATATTAAAACTGGCAGTAGAAACAGCTTTCTGTACGCTCCATAGCCACATGATGTACAGCATATGTAAGCACTCACTTAGAAGAAAGCACCTATTTGGGAAGCTACAAACTTTCAGAGTTCCAAGCAGCCATTCTACACTGTCTTTGGTTATCATTGAGACCACCTAGTGTATGGTATTTGCTATCAATCACTGATAAAGAACTCCCCTCAGTACCAGCCACATCCACATTGCAATAAGTACTTTTATTTTCACAAGCCATGATATTTGTTTGTTCTTGCTCATCAACAACCAAACCTAACAGATGCTGGCACACACCACCAAATTACCAGATACATTTTGGTTCCCACTAAAAGCCTCAACTTTACCATTTTTGTTCTCATTCTCACTGCCCACACAAGTTTGGTCCACGTCAACATTAGCTCCTTACCTACCAGACAGATTGCCCATAAATCCCTTTCTTTGAGATAGAAAGCACCATAATTGACTATAACACAGGGGTACCTTATCTATCTGTTGCAATCTTACTTTGAAAATAATCGGTAACGGCGGCAGATACCAGTCTACACTGACGAGATGATGCCAGGGCACCAAGGCCATCTCAAAGGATCAACGCCCGCTTCTGCCTTTCGAGGTGAATCTTCACATACTGAGTTGGTTGACAAAGGCTGAACAAGATGTCTTGTATGAAAGAAACACGACGCCCTCCAGACTATCCAGTCATGAAATGTTTGGTTGTCACTCGCGGGAGCCGAAACCGAACCCAGTCGTTGGCGTCTAATTTGGTCGTTGAAGCTTGCAAAACACGGCATCAGACCGCAGAAAGCAGAGCATAAGAATATTCACAGCATGGCACATTACACCGGGCCTTACGACGCGTCATTACAACACTTACCTCTCCACCCCCGCCTCCTGGCCTACACCACACAGGACCGCAACTTGGAAAGGAAGCGAATCAGCGGATCTGGGCATATGTGCCATGTCTAAAAATATATTTTACGACGCTGTCAGCGCACGAAAAGCGGCACGTTCCAGTGCTCTTCTTGGGTCACATACTTCATTTTACGTGTCATTCATTTTCAGGATGTCCATTGAACTCCCACATATATACAATGTCACACAGAGACGCGAAAGGTACCCTATTACGCGCTCACCAAAAATTAACTGAACAAGTAAAATGCTCTGTTACTAAATTGGTTGAATCACAACTAAAACAAACCGATTGGATGACTGCAGACATAAGTTTACGGTCCGTATATCTATGGTGGCCAATAACACGGACGTTTTCACCACCGGTTCAACGAATTCGTTTTCCGTAACGCGTAATTAAGTTATCAAATGCACAAAGAAAATGTTCGGAAAGAATATTACCGACCAAATCGGCTGCGGTTGCACCAAGTAGTTGAAACAAAGCAACAAGGTAACCGAATCGGCCAAGTTTCCACCAAGTAGGCAAAACAAAGCGCCAAGACATAGTAGAAAATCACAAATCTGCACCAAACTCTAATAAAAACTTCACTTACGTCGACTTAATTTAAACTTAACTGGCATCAACTTACGGATGTTTTGGGACGCAACTTCATTCTCGTTGCCGTTATATTCTAAAAGCGAATCGCAGACTAAGGCGCTTGTGTTTCTCTCCTCCTGCCCCGTGCGAAGGACGCGGCTGCGGGGACCAGGAGAACACGGAGTAACAAAAGGGAAGAGTCGGGGAGCCGCCAGCGTGAGGACGATATCGCCCGGCGGGACAGACTGTGAAGTGCCTGTGACGAGCGTCAAATGCAGAAGTGGCTTTGGACGCACCGTGTGTGCCAGTGAGCCGGAGGCGAGACGTCAGAACAGCAGACCTTACACATACACGTCCAGCGGCGCGGTCAGCTGATAGGGGAGGGGGGGGAGTGGAGTGCATGTCCTCCCGCTAGACCCTGAGTGGCCTTCGGGATCCTCCGCACGGACCACCAAGGGCCCGATGGGAGGGTCACTGGTGGGCCTGATTGGAGGGCACGAAGGGCTGGCAGGGGAACGGCCCTGGGGTGAACGCCTGGTCCTCAAATGCCAGTCAAAGGGACTCATTGCGCCTGTCGAGGGTCTCCAGGACCGCGCGGGGGGGGGGGGCTCCAAGAGGGCTCTACGCGCTTGTTGCAAGCCATAGCTGTTAACCTTCTCAGGCACACTCGATCATTCGGGGGCCCTCTTCTCTAAGTCTTGCGCACTCCCTTTTTGAATGAAGGGCCCTATGCTCTTGACGGGCCCATTTAGTAAGCTGCTCGGGCAGGTGGCAGATACAGAGGAGGGGAGGCATGGGACAAGTCCGAATGTACCGTGCCGAGGGAGCCTTTAGGCTCCAAAGAGGCCCATAACCGGTGAACGGACGCAGCTCTGTTATAAAATAAAAACGCAACAAAATTGGACGTCTTCGGGCCTACAGACGGCCAACAACTGTTGCTAGCAAAAGAAGCGTTCGTATGCAGACAAAGTTAGTTCTTTACTACTCCCAGTAAAAGTCTATTCAGTATATTCTGAGCCTGCTCCCTCCCCCCACTTTGTAAAACGTTCGTATGTGTATGCTCCAGCCTCAGTCGAATGGTTTCAGTTCCGTGTAAATACAACCCACGGCTTGTCCAATGATCCGTCGCAACCGTTGGCTCAACAGTCGCAACCGCTGTGACGGCTCAAGTGTCGTTGAGCCGTGGCACGGTCAGCTATCCTCCGCGAGGAGGATATTCACGGCAGAAACACGTGACTGTACAGGCCACGTGGCGGCAGGCCGGGCAACGGACGGAAGTTTTTGCACAGACGCAAAGGCTCAGAGGCTACCGAAGCATCAAAAGAGCATCCAAAACCGGACAGGTGGAGGTGTAGTGGTGAAGATGATTCATGTGGCTGCACAGGCCTCTTGCGACCCAATTTCCCTACCGGGGTGAAATGTGGGGTACGCCACCGCCTTGAGCCCGCAGGATACTTTGCTTATTTATATGTTATGACATATCTGCATTATAAATGATACGACACATGATTCCTGCAGGGCAGGACACTGATCAAATGTGAGGAGTATGCAAGATGTCGTACAGACGGGTGACCAGAACCAACATTTCAACGGAATCTGAATTTAGCGCTTTTTGCGTTTTTAGAAAATCTGAATTTAGCGTTTTTTGGCGTGGCGGTAAAATGTCAGTTCTTAATTTCATACGAAGTGTCCCCCAGCAATCTTAAATTGCAATTTAACTGACTTACATAGTAATAAAGTAACAAGCACACACACACACACACACACCACACACACACACACACACACACACCACACACAAACACACACACACACACCACCACACACCCACACACACACAACACACACCACACACACCAGACACACCACACCCACACCACACACACACACACACCACCACACACACACACACACACACACACACACACACACACACACACACACGCACGCACACGCACCCGCAACGCGCAACGCGCACGCACGCCCACACACCCACACCCACACCTACACCCACACCCACACCCACACCCAACACCCACACCCACACCCCACAACCCACACCCACACCCGCACCACACCCCACACCCACACCCGACCCACACCCACCACCACACACCCAGCACACCCACACCCACCCACCCACACCCCACACCACACACACCCACCTATATCTATAATAATATATATATATATATATATATAGATATATAGATTATATATATATATATATATATATATATATATATATATATATATATATATATATATATATATATATAAATCTGAGTATGTTTCATATATATGAGTGTCCCATGGCATGGCGCACGCGACACACGTGACAGTTTCCGGGGTCACAAACATATGTGTTCCGCTTGAAATTCCAGGAGGTCCCAGATTTGCTATGTAAATATGGCTCATGCGCCGGTTCGATGCTCTGTGCGTCATCCCGACACCGGCATCAACCAAGCAAAATCGAGCCAAACCAACCGAAGTCCAGCCAAGCCCATCCCCGTGGGGCAGAGCGGGACAAGATGGGCGAGCACCTGAGCAGGGGACCTAAGTTCAGGCCAGGCTGTAATCTGACCCATGGTCAGGTTACAGCCTGGTCAGGTTACAGCCATGTTCCCCAATCATCCCTCCCATATCCCTGCATATCCTAGCCTAACTTGAAAACTTACTCTCACTGGAGCTGCACAGCATGCCGTAGTAGGCCAGTGGGGCAGGGCAGCGCACCACGCTGTAGTTTTCAGTCAGGCTGCAGTCTTTAGTACAATGTGTTATGATAAAGACCTTCCGGCACGGGGTTAGATGACCCGTCAGATCAGCTGACGGGTCGTCAGCTGACTCATGCCCCAGCCCGCAAGGCGGGCATTACTAATCTAGGAAGGCGTTCATATTGTCCAAGGTACAGAATGTCCAAAGGTACAGAATGAGAGGAGCGGCCGCCAGCCGCGGGCGAGAACAGGAGCAAAGCTATAAAAGTGTAACCACCCCAGCCAGCTGCACTCAACTGAACATAACATATCTGTCTTAGTATGGTTTGTTCATTTTAGCTTACAAAAAATAGTAGCAGCTTTATTGAAATTTCGCGTAATTTTGAGGTGCAATTTTTAATGTCCTGCTTGTCTTTGTCGCCAAAAGCCTGGGGAGAGGTCAACTTAGACGTTGGGGATGGGGGAAGTGGCACACTCAAGAGTGCAAATCGACACCGGTGATCACTGCGAATAAATGAAGTTACCTAATCTGCAGTCGGAATTTTTTATCGGCACCATGAGATCAGCAGCTTCTGGCCGTGCCATAATGCTGGTTGTCCGCAGCACTCTGCGCACAGCTGATGATGATAGCGACTCGTGTGGTGAATGTCGGTATGGCCTCCACAGGTGTGGCCGCCGCTGCTGGCTGTGCTGCGGCTTGACCCACTGATGAAACATATTCATCCCCCCGCGATGGGCCTGGGTTGTTGACTGACGAGCTGCTTGCTCATAGCTGGCCAGGCTAAGCGAACGATCTTCCGAAGCGGGGCATTCATCATTCTCCGTGACACCTATCAATTATGTTCGCACTAACTCCGTGTAAAAATTCGCGCTTCGGCAGTCTTACTCAGCAACCGACGTTATGGCCAGCAGTAGGCACGTGCGTCGGTTCAGCTCATTCTAAAGGTATCGACACGAGGTACGAATGCGTTACTAACTGGACGTCCGGCCCCGTGTAACTGCGGGACCTCGTGTTTTTCTTCGTTTAACCAGGCATCCTCAACGCGCATACCTTGACGTCTCAACCTTGCGAGTAGATACGACACAATCGAATGAAGGTGGGTGCCCTCACAGAGTGCGGGGAGCGGTACTATGTCCTTCCCGGCCACCGTTCCATGACTGCTGTCACACAGGCGCATCGAGGATGCGGAAAGCGCAGAGCGGCACGCTACAAGCCCCTCCTCAGAATGGCAGTGACGCAGAGCCGAACAGGAAATGAGCGGCATATATTACTCTAGGAATGAACAACCGGACCGCGTGACGGGCCTTACCGTGCGCTTGTAGTTCCTCACAGTCCGGTAGATAGCGCTGATCATAAACTGTCTCGTCGCGTGCGTTCGCCTGTCGGTGAACACGTGTTTTGTTGTCGCTGTTACGTGTTACAGGTGAGCGTATTTCGTTTCATCTAACGGGCTTACTGCTTGTTGTTCGGCTGGATTTTATTAAGTGGTTCAAGTGAGCATTAATGTGCGGATCGTTCTCCTGGAACAGCTAATCTCACGGATAATTTTATTGAAGATTAATGGACCATTTGTTTACTAATAGATTCTAGTTGCCTTGAAATTGATCAAGCTTCCGGCCTTAAAATTTACCTGTTATATGCAGAACAAACATCATTTGAGCAAAGCGCATCTCCTGCAGGATGGCATGGACTTAAATCATTGAATGGTGGGACTTAAACTTGAACTGCAATTGCTGCTAAGCATGGCTGTGATCCCAGGAATATATGTGATGAGGCTCAGAATAAACCTTTGAAAGGTAATGACCATGCAGACATGACAGAATACTGAGTCCTTGTCATAAGGTGGGAAATAAACCACTTAGGTGTGGACACTCATACAGTTCCCTGTTTCAAAACTATAAATGATAAAGGTTTTCTACATTGTTCCCACTTGCTACAGATTCATGTAATCAATGTTGAAAAGGGAATATCATCATTTTGTGAATCTCAGCATGCTTCAAGGATGACATGGCAGGGAAGGTATTAGATTGGCAATGCTAGGAATGCTAGGATTATGGTGTAGTGCCTGTGATTGAGGTGATGTTGGGGATGTAGTGACATTGGATTTTGATGGGCATAAATATACATAGTGGATTTTCATCAAGGTAACTTATCCTATATGTAAGTCCCACATCATTTTTGCAGCCAGCTTTACTGGGGCATATCAGACAATCAGGAATCAGGGATCCACATGCAAATAGACAGACAAATCAATTTAGTGGTTTAGATTTGGCTATTACCAAGTATTGGCAGGCTAAGCCATCTATATGCACTTGCAATATGACCCCACAGTATGACCCCACCATGACCTCACTTATCTGTGCATAGCCGAGTCACCACATATGTAGCATGCATTGCTTATAATACCAGGTACCTAAATGCCCTGAGCTCACCTGGGCATGGAGTTTAGTGCACAAATAATGGTAATAAGTACATGCAGGTTTGGTACAAATAAAGCCTTTGCAAACCAGCAATATGAACACATGCATGTACAAATAATTGTCATACAAACATGTCCACTTTGGATATCTCTGGTTATAGAGATATGCATCTGCAAGGTGAACATTTGAGCTCATGTACATCAGCATTTACAGTCATGTGCAGCAGGAACATTACACATCTGTTTACAAACATCTGCATGACAAACAGTGGTGATTTTACCATTTTCTGGTATAAACATTTGTGTGCAAGCTTGCATGTCTGTATATTTGTGATAATCAGCATTTGCCTTTTATGCACCTGCCATTGTAAGCTGGCTATGTTTGACCCTTTTATAGTATGCTAAGATTAGCATATGCCCCAGTGGCTGGCTGAATACCCCTCACTCAGGTGGGGTCAATTTGACCTCCCCTGGTATCTCAGGAACTAAGAAAGCTAGGGACACTAAATTTGCAGGGTGTGTTGACCTGTATGTGAATGCGCTTAGGCCAAATTTGAGGTTTGTAGTTAATGACATTCAAGTCAGATAAGGCCAAACAAGGCCAAATTCCAGTTGGTCTCCAAATTGCTCTGATAACCTAGATGACTGTTTCTAAGCAAAGGTCACATGCTCACTTTTGACCTTGTTTGACCTTTTGAAGGTCATGTTGACCAAAATCATACTAGACTGCTCAGAGTTTTGCTTTTGAATAAGTGGCAAAGATAAGGCAAGGCAGTATCTGCTTAAAAACAAAATGTTGACCTGGGTTGTTTTAGGTCAATGACCTCTTCTGACCTCAAAGAAGTCCATGGAAGATGTATAATGCAGTTCCTGCTATCAATAAATTTTAAATGAGCACCAGAAGCTGTCCTGTACAACAAGCTCGAGAGTAATAAAATAGGCTGGTTTTGACCTTGGTCTGACCTTCATACCTGACCTTAGGTCAATGCTCCTTTTTCATTTGATATCTGTGTTGCCTAAGAAAGCATCTCAGAGATTTATGGCTTCATCTAGCACTGTTGTTGCATCAGATTGAATGATTTCCTAGAAATTGACTTTGCTGAAGCCATAGCCTGACTTTTGCCTGTCATAGGTCAGCAACCTTGCAAGGTATATCTAAATTTTAATGCCAGACGATGCACGATTCAGTTTGCTACAGCTATGCTAAGTTTGTCGTGCTACGTCAAGCCGTTCGGAAACCATGGTGGAAAAACCTTGGGGGGTCAATTTGACCCCTCACCTGAGCGCGTGTTCGCTGATTAGAGCTGTAGGTATTATATTTACATACATAGCTGTATGATATATCTTAAAACTCTTCAAGAATCATTACTTGTTAGCAATTACTCTGTGAAGCCCATTAAAAAGTGATGTGAGTATATGGCATCTTGCTGTTTGTTTTCATTTTCCACCCATATTGCATGCAGTACGTGATAAGGACCCCATTCTGCACATGGGGCAGAATTGTTATGTCTACATGAGCAGATTGGCTTAAATCCATTCAAAGACAACAAAAGAGGTGCCAACTTCTATGCTGCACTCCAGGCACATGACGCACACTTGGATATGTGTGGCTTGTACCAGGTACAGTTCATCACATGACTTGGCGTGGCTTACCAACTGGTTGTGGTTGAGGGAGTGTGCTTTTGTTATCTCGTGTTGGAAAGTGTCAGACAGGCGTACAAAGAAGTGCAAAAGTGTTTTACTGCTTTCAGAAAGGTTTACATCTTCTAAATAGAACAGAATCATGGATATCCTGGAAAAAGACCAGCGCTTTTCCCATGTCGGTCGTGACCCCAAGTTCCGCTCCATGCCAAAGAAGTACAAGAAAGTCAAGATTGACAAACGTTTCTCCGCAATGTTCAAGGTGAGTCGAGTTACTCATAGGGCACAAATATGGATGTAAATATGTCATATTCTAGACCATTCTTGCATAAAGTGGAGGCTATGATGAACCACTATGTGCTTAGTGGTGCTCTTTGGAGATGAGTAAAATGTAGCTGTGTAAATTTGACATCAGATTTGACACGAGAACCAATTAATGTATATCTCACTGTGTGGAGTGGCTACTGACCTAATCCAATTACCAATGGCTTTGTGGCTGCTTGTTGTGAATGGCGCTTCATGTGAGGGATAAATGAGCAGATGCAAGCAGATGGTTGTGTGTAACTCACCACGCAGTGTAACCTCTGCAGCAGACATGGTGAATGTATGGTGCGACAACCGCTCATATATTGTGGATGTGTCATGGCAGGAGTCAGGAGCCAGGGTGGCACAGGCTCGGTTTGTAATATGGAATTGATACCAATGTTCACTCATCAATATAATTGCAGGATAACCGTTTCAAGCTCAAATACTCTGTGGACAAGAGGGGTCGGCCAGTCAACTTCTCATCCTCTGAAGACCTTAAGAGGTACTATGATGCTGGTGAAGGCAGTGACGAAGAAGAAGAAGACGACGACAACGACCAGCCTGAGCCCGACACTGCAGGCGGGTCGTCTTCACAGCCAGAAGTCGATGGCGAAGACAGCGAGGCCGACTTCGCTGAAGAGAGTGAAAAGCGCCCGGGTGTGCAATTGTCAGGAGATCTGGAGAAACCACAGCCGCCTTTGGACAAACTCCCAAAAAGCGCGCCAAAGAGGCTGAAAAAGAAAGCGTCGGAATCTTCGACAGTCGCTCTGAAAACCAAAACCGCCCCAACCGAAGTGGACGTCAGTGAGAAGTCAACGAAGAAAAAGAAAAAGCAGAAGCAGAAGAAGAGGCGCGCAGCAGAGCCAGGAGCCTGCATCTGAGGAGGAGGAGGAGGAGGAGCTGGCGGAGCCGGTGCGGGAGCGGTTGATGGACCTGGCCGTGGACTACGCGCGCGGCGGCGGTCGGCTGCAGGAGGACAGCAGCAGCGACGACGAGTCCGAGCCTGAGCAGGGTGAGTGGCGCCGCCCGGCCGGCTCGGCGGTGCAGCCACTGTAGCGTGGCGGCGGGGTGTGCGTTGTGTCCATTGCAATGTTTTATGCAATGTTGCAACATTTTTTATATTTGCTTTTTGGGGCTTGCGGGCCTTACAAGAAGATTGAAAGTGGTCCTGGAGCTCTATGACGCCTCGTTTTGGCTTAAATCACGGTCGCAACCTCCTATAACTTTTTGCAACAAGTTGGAAAATCTGCCTTCGGGATCTTTATGGCCTGGCGAGATCACTGGAAAAATGTAAAAAGTAAGATGGTTTTAGGGTGCCATCCTGGTTTGTTAAGCAGTGAACTGCGCTTGCAATATTACGCAATTTTTGCAACACTTCCCAGGATCCTCTTGTACGAACTCCAGTACCTCGGAAGACCACCGAAGGTAGTTTCAGAATGCTAACTTACTTCATTATGTTTATATCCTTTTCATTTGATGCTACGAATGCCCTCATATGATCAGGCAACCTGGCCGTTTTGCGAAGAAAACTGCACTCAGTAATGCGCTACGCCCCGCGCTCTTTCCAGACTCTAAACGAGCGTAAGGCTGGGCAATTCCTGATGAAACATGTTTAACCTGGTGAAACATATTCAACTGCTCAGGGTGTAGGTTGAGGTTAAAATTAGGACATAAGGATCTCGAGAGGGTCCCTGGAGCGGCTCCTATCCTGCTACATCTGTTTGACACGGCTGAGGTTACGAACGCCCCGCGTGGCATGCCGCGTACTTCCCCAAGTCTGTCTTTGGTTTCAGTATTAGCTGGCCTTAAATGCAATTTTAATTCGTCCATGCCTACCCTATGCTGAGCTGCCTTTGCTTCCATCGGTCCTTATAACCCATCAACTTGCATGCAATTCCATTCATTCGTCCCCCCTCCTGACATACGTTGCATTCATTCGTCGCATCACTGATCAACTTGGGCCCCACAATTTTACTTCACTAGTTCCTCCAATGGCACAAGGGATCGGGGTGGAGTACTGCTACCTGATATCCGGCCAAAATAAGGCTATTAGGAACCTTGACCGCACGTTCGCAATGCTCATTCCCCCTCATTTCGGCACGTGGAGCTTTTTCACGCGAGGCATTCGGGTTCACTCGGGTGAGGGGTAAAGCGCATAACTAAACGTCCTTTCCGCCAATGCGGGGGGTCTTATCCTTAGTGTCGCCCAGGTAGCGTCCTTACCTCCAAGGAGGGCTGCCCTTCACACTGGTGTTTCCTGGCTGGGATCTTCTGGGATCTGGGATCCTGGCTGGCCGTCTTCGCCGAGCACGGCATTCTTCGTAAGCGTCTTTACGAGAAGCATGCGACGAATAAGCCAAGTTGCACCTTCCCCAAATTCTAGCGGTCGCCGTCCCTGCTTTATCAGAGTTAGAGGGCTGTTTATGCTAGTTTCAGCTGGCAAAAAGCATGACAACAGTGCACAGCGGATATGTTGTTGTTCTGCGGCCCGGGGTGGCTCTTCATCATTAGTATCGCCCAGGTCGCGTCCTGTCCCTAAAGAGAGCTTGTCTTCTCCCAGTGCCAACCACACGGCGACTAACTGACGGGGAGTTTACGCCGTCTTCGCCGAGTACGACGTGTTTCGCAAACGTCTTTGCGAGAAACCTGTGACCACTATGACTTCCTTCAATAAGGGCTTATGGGCACCACCCCTGTGTAATGGCAGCTCCTCTGACTGACGTCCCCTCCCCTCTGTATGAGGTCAGCCTTCCGACGTGATCGCTTTTGGTCTGGCAGTCCACTGTTCCGCTTCCGTTATCAGCAAAGTTGCCAATGTCGGCAAACATCATGGGCATGAAAGGGCTGCATACATAGTCTGTGCTCGTGTGACCCTTGTGACTATGTGTTCTGCGGTGGGGGTGGAGCACGACTGGACCGAGCCGGACCGTGGGCCCTGGCCTGTGTCTGTCCGCCCTCGTGCTCGCGTGACGCGTGTGACCATGTGCTCCACAGTGGAGGTGGAGCACGACTGGGCCGAGCTGGACCGGGACGCGCCGCGGATCGACGACAGCGAGACCACGGCTCGGCTGGCCGTGTGCAACATGGACTGGGACCGGATCAAGGCGCAGGACCTGATGGTGCTGCTCAGCTCGTTCGCGCCCCCCAGCGGCGTCATCCGGGAGGTGGCGGTGAGTGGACACCGACGCTGGGACGGGCGGACTCGGTGACGGCGTAGGACGCGCCGTGCTGGGGCACTGTAGGACTGGGGGGTCGCGGTGGAGGGCTGCTTGCATCTTGAACAGAAATGTCATGCTCGAGTAGTTATTGACTATGAACTAACTAGGGGTGTCAGTGTCATTTGCGCACGCCCCTGTGCGCCATATGTATTTATAGTTGTTGGATGTATACATGAACTTGTCTTCAGACATTTCTCAGGCTTGTTTTTCCTAAACAGCTGCGTGGGTGCGCGGCGCACGTGGTTTGGAGCTGTACCGCGTCCTTTGCCCGGGCAGATATACCCGTCCGAGTTTGGCAAGAAGCGGATGGCTGAGGAGGAGGAGCGAGGTCCGTCGGAGCTGTTCGGGGACAGGGAGGAGGAGGAGGAGGAGGATAAGGACGAGGACGACTCTTCGGACGATGAGCGCAAGGTTGGAGAGGTTGGAGCGCGAATGGAGGGAAGAAGTCGGTCTCCCAGATACTGTATCTGTCGACACCCCTGTATCTGTCAACACCCCTGTATCTGTCTGCACCCGTGCCTCACGCGCTGGGCCGGACCTCACTACCCTTGTCCGCCTCACCATCAGTGGGCCTTGCGACGCAGCTGGTGTGTTTGAGAAGGCGAATGACGTGAGGATTCCGTGCTTTCATATGTACGCATTGCAAACGTTTGCAAAAACAGCGCTATCTCAGTCTATCTCATAGTATTTGCTCGGTCTTGCAACTGGACAGAAGCGGGCAACTATAGACTTTGCGTGCCTCACTGGTGCAGCATCGCCCCTTGTTTGGCTATCTGCGTTTTTGGCCTCGCGTGCTACTTGCAATATTGTTAAGGAGAAAAGACGGTAGAGCCTTTGGGCCTTCTGCGATAAACAGAGCACCGTTTGCCGGGACCACCAACCGGTCGGGCCTCCCCCACTTGACCAGCCATTCTCCGCAGGCCGACCCGGAGACGGCCGAGCGGGACCGGATGGAGTTCGTGCGCCGCTACCAGCTGAGCAGGCTGCGCTACTTCTACGCGGTGGTCAGCTGCGACAGCCGGCAGACGGCCGGCGCGCTGTACGACCAGTGCGAGGGCCTCGAGTTCGAGAGCTCGGCAAGTCGGGTCGACCTGCGCTTCATTCCCGACGGCATGGAGTTCGACGAGGTTAGCCGGCCGACGGCACGCAGTCTGACGGCGCGCAGTATGACGTCAAACAGTCTGACAGCACACATGCTGAAGTCACACGGTCTGATGGCACGAAGTCTGACGTCACACCGTCTGACGTCGCATAGTCGGACGTCACACAGTCGGACGTCACACAGTCGGACGTCACACAGTCTGGCGGCACGAAGTCTGACGTCACAGTCTGACGGCAGCAGTCTGACGTCGCACAGTCTGACGTCACACAGTCTTGCGTCACCTAGTCTGACGCCACACAGTCTGACGCCGCACAGTCTGACGGCACGCAGTCCGGGGACGCCTTCAGGTGTGACGTCCTTTCATATGTCGCTGATCGTGTATTGGCTATTGGTGCAGTAGCACTTTGTCCTGACCTGATGCTATGATCTGTTCTGATGCTCCAAGCCGACTGGATGGTGCACGATCTGCCTGACTTCCCTAGAGCCACCAAGGGCGGTGTTCTGGGTGGGGTCGGCGGTCGACGTGGTCGGATATCGTCCCGACTTTATCCGACCTGACGTGACCTGACCTCCCCAGACACCATGGCGTTGGTACTCTGGTGCCGAGATATCGTTCTGACCTTACATGGCCTGACCTGACCTGTCTCCAGGAACCCTGTGAGTGCTACCTGGCAGTGCCAAAGGCGGGCTGGTACTACCCCGGCCTAACTTGGACTGACCTGTCCCGAGGAAGCCCGGATGCGCTGCTCGGCAGAATCAGAGGCGGCTGGCACTGTCCTGATCCGATCTGATCTGACCTGGCCTGACCTGACCTGACCTGATCTGATCTGATCTGATCTGACCTGACCCGACCTGTCCCCAGGAACCCCGGGAGCGCTGCTCGGCGGTACCAGAGGCGGGCCGGTACCGTCCCAGTACGTTCGTGACGACGGCGTTGCAACAGCGCCTGGTGCGCTTCACCTGGGACGAGACGGACGCCGACCGACAGGAGACCGTGCGTCGCGCCGCGCAGGCCGGCGACATAGAGGACGCCGACATCCGCGCCTACCTGGCCGACAGCAGCGATGACGAGCAGCCTGGTCAGTCACCGGGGGTCGAGAGGGCGGAGGCGGGAGGGGGTTGGTGGTGGCAAGCCTAGCCACGGGGGCGGACCTAGCTACGAGTCGCAGTTAGTTCTGACATGGACGACATCCGCCGATCGCGTCGATGGAAGTGACCAGCTTTCGCAGGCTTTTGTCTTATCTGGTGGAAATATCGGCGGTTGCATTGTGTTCCGAAAGCCTTATACTATGGCTGGCTTGTGCAATTATTTGGAAAGGCATTGCGGCATTTCATTGCAGTCCTTCGACAGCTGGTGTTGTTCGTCAGCCAGTGCAAGTGGCGGACTTCAGGATCGCTTAGTTTTGCGCGTACAGTGGCCTGCATTTTGCTCTAACATTCTCCCGATCCGGTGATAACATTGTTAGATCTCTTTGCAATGGTTCCAAAGGTTTCCTTGGAAACATAGTCTCTACGTCGTCATTTAGTGTTGGATAGGTGGAGGGAGAGAGAAAGGGAGAGGGGGAGGGCCGAACCGCCGGCTCCAAAATACGGGCCGCTTCTGTCCCCTTAATTTTGCAAACGAAATCATTACGCATGCCATCACCAAGATGTCTTGATAATGAACGTTCTTGATAGCTAGCATTAATCCACAGGCGGCTCCTGACGCTCTTAAGAAAACGCCGTGCAATAGGCAGTAGTGTATATCGTTATGATATTTAACGAAGCTACGCATTGAGACGACAAACGCAACCTTCCCATCACCCATTTTCTGGACATCAACGGATCTGGGAATTCCGATCAGCGCGACACGACAATCCCGGCTAGAATACTGGGTTTATGAGACTCGCTATGCGTAGGGCCCAACCACCCACCGCCTACCTCACCAGTCGTACCGCACCACTCACACACTCCACACACCGGTGATACTACCATCTGCCATCATACTACCCGCTGCCATCGGTGTCGACCTGCTCGGAGAACGGGGGCGTGTTGTCGCCCCCGCCGGCCTCCTCGGCTGCGGTGACTGTGGCCGTCACGCGGCCGCCGCGCGGCTGCCGCAGCATCTGCACCGCCGAGAAGACGCTGCGCGGCGCGCCGTCCACGCGCCCCTCCACCTCCCGCTGGTGGCGCCAGCGGTCGACCGTGCGCCGGATCTGGTCGCGCGAGCGCTTGCCGTGCGCGCCGGTCGACACCATGCTGGGGCGCCGGTAGTGTCCGCTCTCAGTGCGCTCGACGCCGCCAGCCACGCGCCACTTGAGCTGCCTCCGCCGCAGCCAGCCGTTGAGCTTGGCGGCTACGCGCGGGATCTGTAGCACGCGGTAGTAGCAGCCGGCGCAGAGGCAGAGGAGCAGGCAGAGCGCGCCGAGCGCGCCGGCCACCAGCGCCGGGGTCGCCACGTGCTCCAGGTCGATGACGGCGCGCTGCGCCCACGAGCCTTGCGGGTAGCAGAGCCGGTAGCGCAGCTCGAAGCGGGCGGCGCAGCGCGTTACCTGGTGCACGGCGACGGACGGCGCCACGGGACGGTGGTGGCCGATGGCGGCGGCTGGCGAGCCGAGCAGGCCGCGCAGCTGCGCCGCCGCCCCGTACTGCAGCAGCAGCTCCCACTCCTCCATGCAGGTGTCGTTGCAGCCGCGGTGGAAGCGGCGGCCCTCCACCGGGTCGGCCAGCCCGACTAGCGAGAGGAAGTGCTCGTCGCCGCGGCGCTTGCACGCCACGTCCAGCTGCGTGATCTGGCAGAGCTGCATGCACTTGGCGTGCGGCCGGGCGAGGGTGGGGCGCGCGCCGCTATCGGCGGTGGCGGGCTCTTGGCAGTACCAGCAGGCACGGCTGACGCGCTCTTGCACGCTCTCGCGGAACTCGTGCAGCTTGGCACAGCTGTCGGCCGTGAAGCGCGCGCTGAAGTTGGTGGCGAACGCGGGCCGCAGCGCGCCGACGGCCTCCTCGCTCGTTACCTTGTCGCGCACATCATGGCGCAGCCGCTCGCGCTGTCTGCCGCGACCGACCAGCTCCAGCAGGCCCGCCTTCACCCAGGCCTCGTCCACGCGCTGACTGGCGACGGCCTTCTTGAGCGACGGAGGCTGGCCAGGCGCGTGCACCACCTCCTCCTCCAGATCGGTCTCGGCGTCCGTGTCGACGGTGGCCGCCGGCAGGTCGTCGGAAGAGGTTCGGTAGTCCACCTCGTCGTCCGAGTCGCTCTCCGAGTCGTCCGTGTCAGGCGGCGCCGGCGGCGGTGGTAGCGGTGGCGGCGGAGGCGGCGGCGGCGGCAGAGGCGGCGCCGGGTCCACACTGTCGAGAGCCGCGCCCGTGGCCGGGTCCTGCTCGCGCCTCGGCACGAGCGCCTCGGTTCCGGGCTCTCCTCGGCTGTCTCGCGACCCGTCGACCATCAGCGGCCTCCAGCCGTACTCGCGCCGCGGGCGCGCCGGCTCGGCCGCAAACCGCTCCCGGTAACGGCGCACGAACTCGTCCATCGGCACGGCTGGCGCCAGCGAGAGCGCCATCTAGCGTCGAGTGGGCACGGATTCCGCACTTGGCGCTGGCTATGCGGCGGTGGCAGGTCGCGCGACATCCTCCATCCACGCGCCGGCAGAATGGTGGACACCGGTGCGCTTTGCTGCCCGGTTTTTGACTGGTGCGGGGCTTGTCTCTGTGTGATATCTAGCGCAATACCCCTTAACTGTGGATAACGGCTTTTTACTTACAGCCTGCGCATTTGAGAATGTCCTCTTGCCGCACAATCTGATAACGATGTCAGCGTTGGGCAGAAAGAGTGGTGGGGACGTGTTGGCTGTCGTTTCTCAGGCGATTCGTACTTGTTCGAGCTTTGCTCGCTCTGTTAGTGTATGCACTACAGCGCTGATGAAGCCCACGTGATTTTTGCTGAGTGCAGCAAAGTTGAAACTGAATGCGCCGAAAAATGTGACAGTACAGCGCAGAAGATAAGCAAAAAGGTAATCCGTGACCAAGCACAGCAGGCACCTTCGTGACGGCTAATTCTGAGTGTGTTTCGAGTAGAGTAAAAGTGAATGAAATTAGATGCGGCTTATCTGTTTCTTTTAAATGTTCCCGTAGTGTGGTATATATACGTGATATCATATTATCTATATCACATATATTTAGTAAATAAATACAATAATGTTTAATATATATATGTATGTATCCAAGTTAAGGCAGATACTGCCGTCCAACCGCATATGCTCATTTTTGGCCTTGTTGCGTTCTCATGTCATTTGATTCGTCTTCTCAAGCTGAATTCGGTTATTTAAACCATGCGTTGAAATGTTCAGCAACGTTTAGCCTTTTCTATCTAAAAGTTTATAACAATTTCAACTCATGGTTAAACAAACAGAATTCCTCCTAAGAAGACCAATAAAATGGCACAAAACATAAGGTGGCCAAAGATGAATATCTGGGGTCTTACCTTTAGACAGCAGAGAACCAACCAATTGAAATTGGTACACGTGGTTTCCGATTATCACGGAAGATAATTGCAAACCGACTGGTGGGGTCGCGTCGGAGATGCGTTCCATCCATCCCCGACTTGTTTCAGTTCCGCTAGACGCGGACCTGTTACCCTCCACCTTGCGGTTCGAGCTCCCAGTCCGTCGGCCGACTCCCAGTCCCTACCCATTAAAACTCTGCTATAAACTTGAAGAAGGCAGCTTATTAAAGGTCCCGCCCGTGCCGCACTTTTTGTCGACATTTTATCGGGACCCATGCCGCCTGTTGCTGCGGGGGCGCGGCGGTGCTCATCTGGGAGGTCGCTGTGACGTCACTGCTGTTCCGCAGACGAGGACGAGGAGGAGGAAGAGGAGAAGGTGGAGCTGGACCGGCCGGAGGACGAGAAGGCGCGCATCGCCAAGTACCGCGCCCTGCTGGCCGACGCCGACGACCAGGACCGGAAGGAGGTAACCGGGGAACGGCCGACGGCCCGGTCCAGCAGCCGCTGGTGTGCCGCTCCAGACCCGCGCGCTGAGCTGAGCTACCTGCTGGAGATGCGCGCGCAACGCCGACGGTGGTTGGCGACCCGGATGCGGTGTATCTGCCCGTCAAGCCCAGTTTATCTTGCCGCAATGCGTTTGAGCCGTTGAGCCAGCGAAATGGGGTGCTGTGCTCTGCTCATGTAAGGCACGTTATCCCCCGAAACATGCACTGTGGAACGGTGAAGGCCAAGGACAGCGAAAGTGCTGCTGAGGAAGACTTGATATGCTCTCAGTCATGTCTCTTGTTGATTGTTTTGTTAGAAGTGTCTTAAGTTGATCAGCTGTTTCACACAATTTGTCCACCCTTGGAACGTCGAACGTTCTTTTTCTGATATGAAGGTGCGATGCAATTTTACGATGCGATACGAAACCAAGATAGAAAAGCCGGTGATACTCCTATTGATGAAACGCTGGTTTTCTTGCAAAATTATTGAAAGCAACGAAGATTGTGTGCTGATAGTTCAAGACGCACTTCATGGATAAACGCTGGAGAAGCTCTGATGTAGCTGTTTTCTTTTCGCAGCTTGTAAGGCCTCA